TATTGAAGAAAACTATAGAACAAACTAKTCTTATAAAACTACAAATGACCTTTTCTAAATTATGTTTTATGTAGCACTTACATAACCTAAGGAATAAAGAATAAAGATCAAATTATAAAGACACATCATTGTCATTTCTTTTTGATGCCTTACACTCTACTGAAAACCTTTTCATTTGTTATATCGTAGAAACACATTAGTTCACAATTCAGCAAAGCAGCTAACAAAAGCAAAACCCCCACTAAAAAAACAATTGTTTGACTTTAAAATAGGAAAAGAACACAGAAAAAGAAAATTAACGATGATTGATTGTTGCTCTTTCCACACCAAAATCAAAGACCATAGTGAAAATTTCAAACTTCATTTATTTTCTTGAAAGTTGTCCAAGTTTCACAAAAGAGAAACCTTGAAACTATTTCACATTTAAAGTATTAGCTTTGGGACAGAATGCTAATGAGGGCCAGATTTGACCCGCGGGCCTCGAGTTTAATTTATGTGCTTTAACCACTATCCAAAATAAGAAGTATTAAATTCCCAGTTTATGGTGTATATGTCTAGATAATATATTTCAAAAAGGTTTAGTAGCTAATCTAAAAATGTTATCTTTCAGTTTTTTGATTGGTCATGTTGTGGACATTATGAATAAAAAAAACATTTTTGTTAAAAGCACATGGATAGAGTTGTTTTTTAATTTTTTTAAGAAAGAAAAAACTCATTATTAAAAAAAGCCTTTTCCCCTCACAAAACACAACCCACATTATTCTCTCAAGAGTCTTCCTCTTGTACCTCAGTCTGAAGTCATTTTCAATTAAGGCCTTTTTGTGGTCAGGGGGTCAGAGGTTCTGAAAGTGCTTTAGCCGCTCCTAATGGATACACACTGTACAGATTAGGAGGAATAATGGTGAGACCTTTTACTGCCACTAAAGTTAACATGCATTTAAGCCGTCTGTTTGTAAAGATGAATGTCGGACTTCGGTCCTCCTCACCCCATTTAAATGCATTAAAGTGAATAGAGCCAGACGGAGAGAGAAATCATTACGTCTGATGTGTTTCAGTCAAGTAAAGAAGGCTATGAATGTGAAAAAAGCCATGAATAAAACATGATGTGACACAGCAAAAATGTATGTACACATATATTTATATATTCACAGCTAAAATAATAAGAAAAGCTAAAGCTAAATTATATTAAACCAAATTTTAAAGTTTTATTAAAAAAATAACTAAAATTAGAGTAAAAACTGATTAATAGCCTCCTTAAATAAATAAAAAAAATACTGTTATTCAGGTCATGAAGTGTCATACATTGTGTCAGGCAAAGTTTTGACACAAATAAACTTCCTGAAACTTCGGCGCATGATGCCATCACTCTGTGGAATAAACAGAAGCAGACAGGCAGTGTTGGAGGCTCCCTCTGTTTTGCTCCGGTGACATTTTCTTCTCCACCTCCTTGGGGGAGGGAAAAGAGCAGCAAAGACAGTGTGAGAGTCTGAAAAGGAAGAGTTTGGAGAAAGAGAGAGAGAGCAAGAGAGAGAGAGAGAGAGAGAGAGAGAGAGAGAGAGAGAGAGAGAGAGACAGTGATGGCAAAGCAGACACTAATGAACGCAGACAACAAAGACCCCTAACCTGAGCGCCGAGCCCCTGGAGACATGAAGAGGTTTTTCAGTGGGTCAATAAAAGCACTGGACCGTGTCTGCGTCRGTTTGCCCTTCAAGCACCCGCTTAACTACGGAGTGGGGACGTTTGTCCAAGGTTGCTTGAGTTAAAGAGGAATTATGCTGATTTTCATGGAGGATTTAGTGTCACGTGCACATATTTGTGAAAACCCAGGTCAAACTATAGAATGTTTGCATGAAAGATAAGCTCAGATTGTTTGGAGCGCAGTTTTCAATGAAAAGKTTAATAACAAGGTGGCTCTTTGAGTAACTTCTGACTGAAATGACGAACCAATGAATACTTCAAGTGGGACATGGAAATACAAAACATGTTTTATCTCAAAAATGTTTTATTTATATTTATATGAGCACTATTTTATAAATTACCATCATTTCCACGTTAGGGCTATTTCCAGAGGAAGTGAAAATAAAGTGCTACAGTTAGCTAGCTGCTGCTTGAAAATAACCTTAGAATTCTATTTAAAGTTTTAACAGTATTAAAACAGATTGTTCAACAAGCTATCTACAACAGGTAAGATATTAATTGTACATAACTTTTGCAGAATTAACTGTTAGTAAAACAAGAAAAAAAGGGAAGTGAGTCTATAGTGTTTTATTTATTGCTGGTAGCACTGATGCAACAAAATGTTGTAACATCAAAGCTCAAAGGAACAAAACAGATACCTTTGTCACCAGTTTGAAAAACCTGAATTCTGTTTTATTCTTTGTTAAAAAAAAAAACTCACAGGGAGCATTTAACATCCTTGGGAAAATCAATTGATTCTTGATTGAAAGGCTCTACAAGGAAGTCTGATGTATGAAGAAAAGATTTCCCATTGGAGCTAATTTCTGTGCTGCCTACACCCAGCCAAATAAAAGACTGCAGCAAAGTTAGAGAAAATCAGTGTGATGAGATATTGACTCTTGCTTGTAACTTCATTTTATGCATCAAGAGGCAAACATGATATCACACTGTTCATGATCCCGAGCATCACGCTTTCAGACAGGCACCCTCCTGGTATTGATGGGAGAGGAGAGTCTGACGTCTGGGGTGTGCACCCTGAAGTGTTCCTCAAAGGGAGGGTGGGGTGCGCTCAACACACATACACATAAGCATGCTGAAGCAGGGCGGGGGCGGATACTTGGCTGCCCCACCATGTCTCACATATGTCATCACCAATCTGTTCAACAGGCCACAGGTATCTGCAGAGTCGTCCTGCCGCTGCAGCACAGAGTGAAACAAGCAGACAGAGCTGAGGAAGCTGAGGACTGAACAAAAGGACAAAGACAGCAAGAGACYGTGAGGAGTGTAGAAAACAGCAGATAAAGCTGCTGGTGGTCGCAACCTTTTACATATTAATTTTCACTCTGGAAGCAGCACCATCTGTCCTTGAGGAAACTCACATGCACGATGGGAAGAAAATGCCATCACTGTTGAAAACATTTAGAAGCAGCCGAGGCAAATGACTTAACAATCATGGGCTTCTTTGAAATCCCATATTGATGGGCAGCTGTTCTGCTGGATGTGTTGTCATGTTTTGGGATTTGAAACATTTTAAGTTACTATGCTAGAAACTGTAAACACACAATAATAGAAATGCCATACAGAAAGACCTTTTTTAATGCATTAAAACCAGGGGAGCCACTTGTAATCACATGAATACATTAAATGAARCTTGACTGCCCTCATGTGGTTGAATTATGTAACTACACTAAATAAAACCTAATTTTCTACCATTGTTTCCTGTTACGCTGATGTTGCTTCATAAATCAATCAAAATCAATGAATCATGAAAAGACTGAAACAGTTTTACATTTTTCCTCTCTTTTGCAGAGCATTTTTAAGCAACTGGTTCAGTAAAATACAAAACAGATTTGTTTTAGCTTACATAAATTTGCATTCTAAAGCTTTTTCAATGTTGGCTGCATTGATTTTAAATGCTTTCTCAAGAGAACTCCATACTGTTTTCATAAAGCAAAAATAGAAGAAAAGAGGGAACAAAAATGTGTTTATTTATAACATTTTAGCAAGACCTATTAACCCAGTTTACCTTGTAACATGTTTTAAAAAGAGCATGCTGTGTCTCAAAAGGGGTGTTCGTTTACATTAGCTCTTTATTTCATTAAAACATTAAACAATTTGACATTATAAGCTTTTTAATGACTAAAAGCTCAAAGCAGTGGGAAGACTGTACCACAGTCTTTTTTCATTTAAAAAAAAAAAGAAGTATCTATGCCCATGTCAGCCCTATTTGACAACGTAAACCAAGTTCTCCCAGGATCCCAGGCACACGACTCAGAACAGCCACCGTGTTTTACATCTCCGGTCTGTTACAGTGGAATCTCCCCTGCTTCAGTTCCACGGATGATTAAACGTGATAATTAAGAATTTTGGACATTTTCCACCGAGGAGCAGACGCGGCAGCTGGTGACATTCATGCATTCCCAAACACAGAGGAGGGAATTACAATAAGGCCTTCGTTCATTTCAGTGATCACAGTGTCAGCTGTTGGCATGACTTCAAAAACAAACTATTTGTAGCCTTCTTTGTTGCACACAAACCCTGATCTATTTTAGAATTAAAGACACAAAATAAGCAGGTGTTTATTTGGAAATAAATACTCAGAAACGTATGTATGAATTTGCCTGTTCTCTCTGCACGTGTGTGTGCGTGTGTGTGTGTGGGGGGGTGGGGTTTGCTTCTGCAGGTGCTCTGGTTTCCTTCCACGGACCAAAAACTTGCATATTAGGCTAATTAGTAACTCTAAATAGTCCCTAAGAGTGAGTGAGAGAGTTAATAGTTGTTTGATGGACCTAGTGATCAGGAAGAGTTTAGGTAACAATCTAAATATTGGCTAGATGTTTTCTTCAGTGCTCTAGAAAAAAATTTATTATACGTTTTATCTTATTTCAGGAACTCCATTTAAAAATCAATTAAATTGTAGATCAACCAAGTGGTCAAAGCAAGGGATCGAATGTATCTATACTCCCAAAAAGAGTGGAAATTGACACACAGTTTCAAACAACTCTTCATTTTCGTTTGAATTTTAATAAGTAACGCTATGCAATTAAAATAATTCAAATGTATTAACATTAATATTAAAAGTCTGTGAAAGCCTTAAATATTCCCTAAAACCAATTTAAATATTTACAGCTGGGCTGTAAAWCTAATTCAGCAAAAATATACTGTTTCCTCTTGAACATTTTTAAGTGCAGTGAGGCATAATATATTTTTCCTTCTTGCAAGTAGCCAAATAATGAGAAATTATGAGAAATGTGTGTAAGCAAAACAAACTCATTCTCCCATAATGCAATCTTCAAGCGGAAATGCTGGGGGCGGGGCGGACTCCATGGAAACGGGAGAACAGCGTGCTAATAGCTGTTAGCCAGCTAGCAAGGTGCTAAAAGGAGCTGTTCGTCCGCGGAAATGAGTCGTACTCCTGATGCAAGAGYCAGGTAAAATATATTTACCACCTAAAAATATTTAATAATTCTCAATTGACGCAAAGACCAGCGAGGTTAAATTAAGGTAACAACAAGGTAATCTGTGTTTTTCACTGGCAGAGCGATAAAGCAATGCGTTAATAACGCAGCATTATAATGCAGAATATGTATTCCTTTTAAGGACTAACATTTTTTGAAGGCATACATATCTCCTTCTGCTTTTCATGCCAGAGTTTTAGATTAAAATCACTTTATGATTAGAAATAAGCTGGAGGCATTTTGGTGAAACCTTGAAATCAATGCTATTCGTGATCACATTCAAGATCAGCAGATTTCATGCTCACTTCGTGATGTGAATGACTCATCTTCTTTTGCTTATTTTTCCATCAGTCCCCAGTGAGTCACCCTTCTTCATCTATCCTCACTCCAACTACCTCCAAGTCTTCTCTAACTGCCTCCATGCCTTTCCTTTCTGGCCTTCCTCCTTGTTGTTTTCCTTGCAGCTGCAATCTTTAATATCCTTCTCCTCTGGACRTGTTCAAACCATCTCAGTCTGGTCTCTCTAACTTTATCTCCCAGTGGTTCAACCTGTGCCGGACCTCCGATGACATCATCTCTAATCTTATCCATCCTTGTCACTCCCAAGGAGAACCTTAGCATCTTCATCACTGCCACTCTCAGTTCTGTCTTTGTTGTTTAAACCTTTATTTAGTTGATTATCGTCATTGYGATTGATACAGTTTCTCCTTCCCAGAGATAATCAGACGAGGAGGATCCAGGAGAACATCACCAATGTGGAGAAACACTTTGGAGAGATGTGCCAACTGTTTGCCGCCTACGCTCGCAAAACAGCCGGGCTGCGAGACAAAGCAGACCTCATGGTCCGAGAAATTGGCACCTATGCCGACACCGAGACCCCAGATCTCAAGAGGGGGATGAAGCAGTTTGCTGACCACCTGGCCAAGATTCAAGACTACCGTCAAGCTGAGGTGGAGTTTTACTATTCTATCCCCAGATGATGCTCTTATCCCCACCGACTGAACTTGTTTAGAACCTATCGTGTAAATTTGCCTTGCAGGTGGAAAGACTGGAAGCCAAAGTCATTGAGCCGTTAAAAAGCTACGGAGCTGTGGTGAAGCGTAAAAGGGTGAGTGTTATCATCGTCTGCAGCCTCGACACTCATTTACAAATAAACAAAACATAGCTGCAGCTAAAAGAAATATGGCATTTTTTTAAACTTAAATTAAGATGGAAAATCTAGAGCAGTGGTTCCCAAAGTTGGGGTCGGAACCCATWGYGGGGTCCTGAAACAKCAAGGTGGGGTCCTGAAAAGATTTTCTAAATTAATTACATTTTTGCCTAAAATGTATAAATGTAGAATAATAAATATTGTTACTAYGCCCATGTTWAGTTGACCAATTGTTTGTTTGTTTGCTGTTGACAAATGTTTATAATCCAAAAATAGTTGTGGGCACAGGTCTCTGCTACTGTTATTTTGTGGGTCAAAAGCTGAAA